TGACCGCTTCCTCAACTCTAACACATCTCAGTCTGCATCTTTAGAAGCCATTGCTTTTCTGCTGTTTCAAACATATTGCTCAGTCTCCTGAGAGACTCTCAAAAATTGCCAGTGCTGACTGTATTTTTCATATGTATGGTACATTGACATCAGTCCCTAACCCTCAAGGGGTGTACAATCTAAGGTCTCTAGCTCACATTCATACATCCACTTACTAGGGCCAATTTAGACAAGAACCAATTAACCTACTAGTGCGTCTTGGATGGTAGGAGGAAACTGGACTACCTGGAGGAAACCCACGCAAGGACAGGGAGAACATGCAAACTCCAGGCAGGGGGTGCTATGGTTGGGATTCAAACCAACGACCCTAGTACTGCCAGGCGGAAGTGCTAGCCATTTAGCCAGTGTGCTTCCCATATACTAGTAATGGTGGCGATCAGTGACTTATAGCAGGACTGCAGCTGGTATTCTGACACTGGAGGGAACGAACTATCTGCCAATGACACTAATACAGTGATCAGTACTAATAAAAAGCATGTACTAATGACACTGGGCAGGAAGGGGTTAACATCTGGGACGATCAAAGGGTTAACTGTGCGCTGTTTTACTATTTTGTCTGTGTGTGCTTTACTGTGTAAGCACGCTGCTTTGTATTGCTCTGCAAAGCAGCGTGCTGGTGCTGACAGGGGAAAGATCTGTATTGTGTACATACACACCTCTCTTCTGTCAGTGTTCCTTGGCAATCACTGGGTGCCAGCGGGGAATCTCCGGCTGGGACCCGGTAATGGTCACCTGTAGCCTCCAACTGAGGCACAGGTAGGGCGGTACGCAAGCGCGCCCCTTACCCAGAAATACAAAATCATGTTTATATACGTGATTTTGCACAGCCCTGGTCAGGAAGTGGTTAAATTAGAAAAATATATTCCAGGGTCATTAAAAATGTCAAAGTTTTACAGTTTTTCTTCTTTAGTAGGTATGAGCCAACCAATCAATTCAAACGTTGGCTGTTTCTTGCATTCGGATGAACGCCCATACTACTGTCTGTTCGGCCCCTTGTATGACGGGAGCTGGGAAATCATATATAGAAGCAGTATTTCTACTACTTCTATGTAGGACAGCTTACCACTGTCACTAGGTTCTTACGTAGCACCTGTACCCTGAGGACACCATACTGTACATATATACAGACCAGTCTGTACCCTGAGGACACCATACTGTATACATATATACAGACCAGTCTGTACCCTGAGGACACCATACTGTACATATATACAGACTAGTCTGTACCCTGAGGACACCATACTGTACATATATACAGACCAGTCTGTACCCTGAGGACACCATATACTGTACATATATACAGACCAGTCTGTACCCAGAGGACACCATACTGTACATATATACAGACCAGTCTGTACCCTGAGGACACCATACTGTACATATATACAGACTAGTCTGTACCCTGAGGACACCATACTGTACATATATACAGACCAGTCTGTACCCTGATGACACCAGACTGTATACTATATACAGATCAGTCTGTACCCTGCTACTGTACTGTACATTATATACAGACCAGTGTTTATACCATACAGTATAGTGTTAGGGGGGGTGACACCATGTTTTACAGCACCAGGTGACACCAACCATAGTGATGCCACTGGCACTCCTCAGAGCCCACCTCCCCTTCCCTCCTTTAGCCCACTGACAGTCCTCCTCAGACTGACACCAGCAATGCAGCGGTAGTTTTTCCCCACTAACACTGACGCAGCACCATTGTTTTTCTTAGCAACACCACTGACACAGGGACATTTTTCCTTCTAGTGACACCACCGACACCAGGATTTTTCTTTTCTTTCCCCATATTTGTGCACTGATTTTAAACCCTTCAGCTTGCTGCAGCGTGCAACAACTATTGACACTATCTTTGCCCATGCCATTCACATTACAGTATATACAGAGTGCTCCTCACGCCGCTATTAGCCCAACTCCCCTGGGGGGGCGCAGTTTGAAATCTGTGCCCTGGGTGCTGAATGACCTTGCCCAGCACTGACTAGAATGCACACATTCACCACACATTCATACCAAATGTCTACAGGATGTGCATGAACCAAATTAAGGGAAATGTATTTTTATAAAAAATAAGGATTATTTTATAAATATTTATTTCTACTTTAACTTTCCATCATTTACTAAAAATTTAAATATCATGATCTCTTATTAGATATCTGATTTTCAAAGAGGAGGATCTTATATTACTTTTGATATGCTGCAAGTACTTTTTGAGTTTCCGCTTCGCGAGTATCATCGTTATCGACAGATTAGACATTTTTTTCAGTCACATTTTGGCCTCATACCCTCCTCTCTGATCTCATTCTTTGAACGTATTAGCCGTGACTCTCCTAGGGGTAGGGGTCTTATCTCAGATCTTTATCATCAATTTTTGATCAGTTTCTCTCCCACACCCCCTATATATAGATAAAGATGGGAGGAGGATAGAGGTATCACTTTCTCAGATGAGGAGTGGGATTCCATGGTGGATAACATATGTAAGAGTTTGAGATCCCTTTCTGTCCATGTGAGACTGCCCTAAAGGTATTAACCAGATGGTATTATACCCCATCAAGACTACATGTACTGTACCCACAAACGTCCCCTTTATGTTTTCTGGGGCTGTGGCCTCACAGGTACATTGGGTTTCACATGTTTTGGGCTTGCCCAACTATATCCTTGGTTTGGAGTAGGATATCGGAGGTAGCTGCTTCCTTGGTAGGTGCCCCGGTACGTCTGACAATACAGTCCTGTTTACTGGGAGCTCATATCCCGGGGGCCACTGATGCTGTTATGAGATTGATACATACCATTTGTATTGCCACTGTATGGGCTATTGCCCTACATTGGAAATCCACCAGGGTACCCTTGGCCTCTGTTTTACATAGAGTTGACGCTGTGATGCTCATGGAGCGTATTCATTATACTTTGCTGGACAAGATGTACTTGTTTGATAAAAAATGGGAATCATGGAGGGTTCATAGACATTCATTACATGACTGAAAAGCATTCCGTTTGAAGGTTATTTGGCATATGCTATTGACAGATGTATCTTCAACCCACTTTATCGTTTACATTCCTCATGTACTTAAAATCTTTTCTCTTTCTTTTTTCTTCCCTATCTAACTTTTTTACGTATATGTACTCTTCTGAAATGTACTTTTCAAATGTGCCTTGTTATTAATGTACACATTACTTGAAACTATACTGTTGTTCTACATTCTACCCTTGAAAAATAAAACCGTAAACAAAAAAAAAAATGTAAATATCATTTTGGGTTAGTTTTATCCTCTTAAAGAAACATACACCCTAAAGTGAGAGGCATTCTTTGATCTTGAAATATGCCTTTCAAAAAATGACCTTTATTATATATCAGGTTAAAATGCATAGCATACATTTATCTGTAGAAATACAAACTAAAGTGCTTGTAAACCTCTGAAATGAAAAAATGGACAGCGCATATCCTTCTCTAGTGTGTACTTGCCTCAGTGCAAAGCACCAAGTATGATTTTTTTTTTTCTCTCTTTTCTTACTGTCATCTGCATGAGTCACTTCTGACAAGTTATTCCGACACCAGAGAATCTTGCCCTATCCAGCACACAGAATGTGATTGACAGCTTCAGCTGTGTCTGTTTCCCTATGGGACTGTGTAGACGTGGGTGTGTCCATTCCCTCCTCTCAACTAAACTAAATGTATTGTATCCGGAAGCATACATTTTAAACTCTTCTCATTTATCCTTTAAAATGGTATTAACATTATTTAAACTTTTATATAATTTGTAATCTTTGGGTACCTCAAAAGCCCATTATTCCCTTTTTTATCCAATTACATTGGAGGGGGTATCTCCTTTCATTAGCCCATGGCTGGTCATCCGGCATATGTGTGGATCAATGAAGTGTCATTTTCCATGTAAAAAATGTCACATCCAGCAGTCTAACAAATATTTTTGTTTGTTTAATAGAATTAGTTTTAAAATGGCTAATGTTACTTTAGATAAAAATGCAAACTTTGTATGTCCTATTTATAATGACAATAAAATTACATTTATGCCAATGTTATTTACAAATGAAATACATTTTTTTTCAAATTTTTTGTTTTAAACGCAACACTACAAACATATGCAAAGTGAACAAACACAAAAAGTTTACATATGAATGGAACAAAAAAAAAAAATAATCAGCAAAAAACAGTAGATAGCCCAGACAATTAGGGCCAATTAAGGTAAATTACAGGATAATAAAACGTTGTGTTACTAAACCCAGCACCCTGCATTCACTATATCTGGTCTCCCCGGACCCTGCATTCACTATATCTGGTCTCCCCAGGACACTGCATTCACTATATCTGGTCTCCCCAGGACCCTGCATTCACTATATCCGGTCTCCCCCGGACCCTGCATTCACTATATATCTGGTCTCCCCGGACCCTGCATTCACTATATCTGGTCTCCCCAGGACACTGCATTCACTATATCTGGTCTCCCCAGGACCCTGCATTCACTATATCCGGTCTCCCCAGACCCTGCATTCACTCTATCCGGTCTCCCCAGACCCTGCATTCACTATATCCGCTCTCCCTGGACCCTGAATTCACTATATCCGCTCTCCCCGGACCCTGCATTCACTATATCCGCTCTCCCTGGACCCTGCATTCACTATATCCGGTCTCCCCGGACCCTGCATTCACTATATCCGCTCTCCCTGGACCCTGAATTCACTATATCCGCTCTCCCCGGACCCTGCATTCACTATATCCGCTCTCCCTGGACCCTGCATTCACTATATCCGGTCTCCCCGGACCCTGCATTCACTATATCCGCTCTCCCTGGACCCTGCATTCACTATATCCGGTCTCCCCGGACCCTGCATTCACTATATCCGCTCTCCCTGGACCCTGAATTCACTATATCCGCTCTCCCCGAACCCTGCATTCACTATATCCGCTCTCCCTGGACCCTGCATTCACTATATCCGGTCTCCCCGGACCCTGTATTCACTATATCTGGTCTCCCCAGGACACTGCATTCACTATATCTGGTCTCCCAGGACCCTGCATTCACTATATCCGGTCTCCCCGGACCCTGAATTCACTATATCTGGTCTCCCCGGACCCTGCATTCACTATACCTGGTCTCCCCGGACCCTGCATTCACTATATCTGGTCTCCCCTGGACCCTGCATTCACTATATCTGGTCTCCCAGGACCCTACATTCACTATATCTGGTCTCCCCGGACCCTGCATTCACTATATCTGGTCTCCCAGGACCCTGCATTCACTATATCCGGTCTCCCCGGACCCTGTATTCACTATATCTGGTCTCCCCGGACCCTGCATTCACTATATCTGGTCTCCCCAGGACCCTGCATTCACTATATCTGGTCTCCCCGGACCCCGCATTCACTATATCTGGTCTCCCCGGACCATGCATTCACTATATCTGGTCTCCCAGGACCCTACATTCACTATATCTGGTCTCCCAGGACCCTACATTCACTATATCTGGTCTCTCCGGACTCTGCATTCACTATATCCGGTCTCCCACAGTACACACAACATGGAAATGCAATTATTTTAGTAAATCTAAACTGCTAATTACCTTGTCTCATCAGCAGTTAGAGTCTTGTGACTTCAGCTGAGCCCTGGTTAAAGCTTGTAGGAGGAGTTTTCTTTCTGCTCTAGGAGGATGCAGGGTCTGGGGATACCAAATATGCAGAACCCCTGACCTCTGTCTGGACAGTGCTGATTGGCCCTGTGCTGACCACATGCACTCTCCCAAGAAAAAAAAAAAAACTCTCTAGCAATACATACCAAGCTGAGCATGTGCATGTGGCTACGGGGTTCAGCCTGTCTTATCAGGTGGATGGACATTTGAACAAGAGAAGGATCAAAGAAGTCAGGATCAAACTGCTTTTTTTACACAATGCAGAGGATTAACCCCTTAGGTTCCACAGTGAGTATAACAAGCATGCTTTACTGCATATACAGACTGATATCACTGTTGTGGGTTTAGTAACACTTTAAATAGAAACACATTTTATTAAAAACTCATTTATTTTATTTTTTTTATTTCATTTCATTTTTTTGTTACACACTTTTGTTAATAATTTTGGGAAGACCATCATGCACAGAAACATTTTTTTGAAAGTCTGTGTTACCAAAATAAATTGAAAATCCCTCCCACCCCGTAAAAATATATATGTATCATTCTGTTAAAATGAATCACTAAATCAATAGGCGTATTGCCGTTGTGTAAACATTTACCAGCACAAACCTTCCGAGAATGATTCAATTAAAACATTGTAACAAATAATATCACACAAGAAGTGAAAGTCATTTCAACTGCCCTCTGAAAAGTGATCATTTTTTAGAAGACAGTAGAGCAGCGGCTTCTAGGCGTTTAGGAAGTGTACATGGACACATAGGAAACCATTAGGGAGAGTTCAGGGGCTGCTGAAAAAAAAAACTGAACAGCTCCTGAACGTCAGTTTAGCAGCTGCAGTGAACATGTGTTTAGGAGCTTTTCTGCGTTTTTTTTCAGCAGCCCCTGAACTCTCCCTAATGGTTTCCTATGTGTCCATGTACACATCGTCCTTTACAGTCGTTCACAGGCAGTTGAGTTTACAGTCGGTTTTTTAAACGCACCAAACTTGCATTCAGGAGTAGATTTTATCATCGTTTCAAATGCCAAATGCCTGTAAACGCAGCTAACCGCGTTTATAAGTGTTTGCATTTGGAAATTTTTTTATAACTCTTCCATTTCCAGATGCTGTCCAGAGCCTTTTTTCATCATGAAAAATGCATGCAAAGCATTTTCCTCGGTACTCAAATGGACCCGGCACACCTTATTTTGAGGTTTTGCATGAAAGAAAATATGTTAGACGCTGCTGCAATAATTTCTGCACAGAAATGAGCCGGAACACATCCAAACACCACAAAAAAAAAGACAGCTAATCTCAACAAATACTGCTCTCTCTGCTTCTGCTCTCTTATTTCTCTCAAAATGGTTGAAATAGTTAATTTTTCACTATTTTTCAGTGTATTCTGGGGATTTAGTAAGGTCCTGAGATTATCTTTAAAAAACGCTTTTAAATGCAAACGCGCATAAACGCGGTATGCAAACGCGGCTAAACAGACGTTTTTTAACCTACGTTTTCCAGCAGTCAGTTTCCATCGTTCAGAAGTGTCCCCTGTACATGGGGCCTAAGTAGGACACAAGGAGGATAAAATCTCAGCTATCCTGTCAGGAAGTTCGGCAAAGTCGCTGGGTTTTAGTAGCTGAGCACAGGGGCGGACTGACAACTCATGGGGCCCCCGGGCAATAGGGGATCATGGGGCCCCCTGTGTCCTTGCCCAGACTCAATAAAGCCTATGAAAAAGGTACCAGGGGCATCTCATGGGGCCCCCTACTGACCCCGGGCCCTCGGGCGGTGCCCGAGTTTCCAAATGGTCAGTCTGCCCCTGGCTGAGCATGACACTGTGAGTGGGGAGAGCTGTCAAACTCTACATAGCAGGGCTGGAAGGCAATGGTGCCAGGATGAACTCCCTAGTGTGTCATCTGAGTCAACAGCAGCGAGACCCAGAGAGGTACTGGTGGAACAGAAAGAGGGTTCTAGGCAATCTGTTTCGGAGATCTGTCTTCTTTTTAAAGCCTATTTTTTTTTAAATTACTGCCTTAAAGTGGTTGTGGAGACATGAAATATAAACAAAGCATATCCCTCTGTAGTGTGTACTTGTCTCAATCTAGAGCACTAAGTGTCATTTCTCTCTGCTGCCCCATTCCTCTGCTATCTGTATGAGCCACGTCCGAGAAGTTCTCCTGACACAAAGAGAAAAATGTGATGGGGAGGGACCTCCAGCACACAGCTTGTGATTGACAACCTCGGCTATGCTCCTGTGTGCTATTTAAGGGAGGGGGGTGTCCCTTCCCTCCAATCAGGGGTCAGAGCTCACCTCTAAAGTGTAACTTCATATCCCCCCCCCCCCCCCCCCCCCCCGCTTTTCAGAGCTGAGAGATCCTGTGTAAATTCTGCATTTTCAATGGATGTAGAAAAGAGAAGACTGCAGATAAACAGGTACAGCATATGTATGAGGATTTGTTTCATCTCTATGTATTACCTGAGGGTTTACAACTATACTCTGGTGGACTAGCCAGGGGCGGACTGACCATTTGGAAACTCGGTCACTGCCCGAGGGCCCGGGGTCTGTAGGGGGCCCCATGAGATGCCCCTGGTACCTTTTTCATAGGCCTTTTTGAGTTTGGGCAAGGACACAGGGACCCCATGATCCCCTATTGCCCGGGGGCCCCATGAGTTGTCAGTTCGCCCCTAGGACTAGCGGATGTAAACGGATGATCATCCATTTGCATCCGTTAATGTCCGTATCCATTAACATCCATTTTTTTGAGCAGAAGAAAAACTGATCTAAACTGATGAAAAACGGATGTAAATGGATGTAAACAGATGTAAACCGATGAAAACGGATGTTGTCTGATGAGGAATTTCAATTTTAAACTGCCAGTGAGAATCACCATATGCCTCTGCCTGTGAATGTGCGGCAACAATTCTGCACTGCTTCTGACCTAAGAGCAGTGTTGTCACTCTCATGTAGGCTTTGCCTGCTTGCACTGCACTTGCAGTCCTCCCCCTTGTCAGTGTTTTTCAGGGATTGCCGGGTGCCGATAGGGAATCTCTGGCGGAGACTCGGTGATCGACAGCCGTAGCCGCCAATGGCAGTGCAGGTAAGGCGGCACACGTGCACCCCCTACCCGGAGATGCAAAATCACATATATATATATATATATGTGATTTTGCGCAGCCCTGCCACCCTGTAGCAGTATTTGTGCTATAGAGTGGCGGGGAAGCAGATAAACAATAAGAAACCGTGCCATAAATGTAAAGACTACTCAACACAAAGGGCACAGTATGGGGGATCAGGATTGCACGGTACAGGGGGTCAGGAGGGCACTATACTGGGATCAGGATTGCACGGTACAGGGGGTCAGGAGGGCACTATACTGGGTTCAGGATTGCACGGTACAGGGGGTCAGGAGGGCACTATACTGGGTTCAGGATTGCACGGTACAGGGGGTCAGGAGGGCACTATACTGGGATCAGGATTGCTCAGTACAGGGGGTCAGGAGGGCACTATACTGGGTTCAGGATTGCACGGTACAGGGGGTCAGGAGGGCACTATACTGGGTTCAGGATTGCACGGTACAGGGGGTCAGGAGGGCACTATACTGGGATCAGGATTGCACGGTACAGGGGGTCAGGAGGGCACTATACTGGGATCAGGATTGCACGGTACAGGGGGTCAGGAGGGCACTATACTGGGATCAGGATTGCACAGTACAGGGGGTCAGGAGGGCACTATACTGGGATCAGGATTGCTCAGTACAGGGGGTCAGGAGGGCACTATACTGGGTTCAGGATTGCACGGTACAGGGGGTCAGGAGGGCACTATACTGGGATCAGGAATGCACGGTACATGGGGTCAGGAGGGCACTATACTGGGTTCAGGATTGCACGGTACAGGGGGTCAGGAGGGCACTATACTGGGTTCAGGATTGCACGGTACAGGGGGTCAGGAGGGCACTATACTGGGATCAGGATTGCACAGTACAGGGGGTCAGGAGGGCACTATACTGGGATCAGGATTGCACGGTACAGGGGGTCAGGAGGGCACTATACTGGGATCAGGATTGCACAGTACAGGGGGTCAGGAGGGCACTATACTGGGATCAGGATTGCTCAGTACAGGGGGTCAGGAGGGCACTCTACTGGGGTCAGGATTGCACAGTACAGGGGGTCAGGAGGGCACTATACTGGGATCAGGATTGCACGATACAGGGGGTCAGGAGGGCACTATACTGGGATCAGGATTGCACGGTACAGGGGGTCAGGAGGGCACTATACTGGGACCAGGATTGCACGGTACATGGGGTCAGGAGGGCACTATACTGGGTTCAGGATTCCACGGTACAGGGGGTCAGGAGGGCACTATACTGGGATCAGGATTGCACGGTACAGGGGGTCAGGAGGGCACTATACTGGGATCAGGATTGCACAGTACAGGGGGTCAGGAGGGCACTATACTGGGATCAGGATTGCACGGTACAGGGGGTCAGGAGGGCATTATACTGGGATCAGGATTGCACGGTACAGGGGGTCAGGAGGGCACTATACTGGGGTCAGGATTGCACGGTATAGGGGATCAGGATTGCACAGTACAGGCTCTGTGGTGCTGCCCGGGGCACAGCCATCCTGGAACAGCTTAGTAAAAAGCGGGACTGCCCCGGCAAATCCGGGACAGTTGGCAAGTATGATAATTATGCAATAATGCAAAATTATCATGGGGCCCCCATGCACCTGGGGCCCCTATGCAGTGCCCAGAGATGTCCATGTATTAAGACAGGCAAATAGACAATTAAGTGGAGCTGGGAAAGTAGGTAGGTCAGGGAGAAAAAAAACAGAGAGGAAAAAACAATATCACTAAAAAGATACTGAGGGCTTTAGGAGTTAAGGGGAATTATCTGTACTCCCAGTAAAAAGTCCATGTAGACTGTAAGAACACGTACTCAGAGTAATGCAGCCAGCCTTCAGAGTGGAAGCTTCTCTGTAAAGGGTACAAGAAGTAAAGAAAACAGTGGCACTGTTTGAGTGTAGTAAATCGATAAATTTGGATTTATTAAAAGACATAGAGCAACTTACAAGATGTAATGTAAGGGCTCGCACATCACATAACAGCAGGGGAGGACTGACAACACATGGGGCCCCCGGGCAATAGGGGATCATGGGGGCCCTGTGTCCTCACTCAAACCACACCCAAAAAAGCCTATGAAAGCTATCAGGAGCATCTCATGGGGCCCCCTACTGTCCCCGGGCCCATGGGCAGTGCCTGTGTGCCGGAATGGTCAGTCCGCCCCTGCATAACAGCCATCTCCTGTGGAGAATAAGTTCTGCATCACTGCGGATGGAAACTCCAGGACCCATCACACTGGTGGTATCCAGGGCTTCAAGCAGGCAGAGAGATCCAACGATGATCGAGGTGACATCACCGGGAATGAAAGTGGGAGAGAGCCTGTCCAGCAGGCGCACGTTCAGAGCATGTGTGCTCCTTCCTCTAAAAGCTCATTTATATGTAACCCGAGGATGAGGATACATGCCTTTTATTCACTTATTCCCTGCCAATAATTTTTATATATATTACTGCCTTTTTATAGGACCATTATGGTCTCCCTGCATGACTACGACCATTTTTGTGAGTATCGTATTCCTCTTTTCCTTCTCCACCTTCCCCTTTCCCGCTTTCCTGCAAAAAGTACTGCTGGCTTTTTTTCCCTGCTTGCTGTGTCTTTATATATACTGTATATGCAATGTAGCTGTTATTATTTATTTATTTTTAATCATCTTATCCATATATATGCCTTCGTTGTTATGTTTTACTGTATGTGTTGATGCTGTTTTTAGTTTGTTATGTAGTACTATATTCCTCTTCCGCTGAGCCTTTTAGTCCGTTACATATATTATGAGCCCTTAACAAACATGGCCGCATCACGGCGTGAGGAAGGAGCATGCATGCTCCGAACACGCACCTGCTGGACAGCCTCTCTCCCACTTCCATTCCCACAATCAGCGTTGGATCTCTCTGCCTGCTCAAAGCCCTGGATACCACCAGTGCAAAGGGTCCTGGAGTTACCATCTGCAGTGGTCTGGAACTTATTCCACACAGTCACCGCAATCAGCGGTGGATCTCTCTGCCTGCTCAAAGCCCCGGATACCACCAGTGCGACGAGTCCTGGAGTTACCATCAACAGCGGTCCAGGAACTTATTCCTCACAGAAGGTGTATTTTATGTGACACGAGAGCCCTTACATTACATCTTCTGAGTTGCTCTATGTTTTTGAATAAATCCAATTTTATCAATTTACTACAGTCAGAAAGCGCCGCTGTTTTCTTTACCGGACCCGCTCCAAGAAAAGGTAAGTTGCAAAGAAAGCCGACGATCCCCGCAGGATGGATCGGATCTGCGAATTGAGCATAATGGATCAGAGTCCGATCGATTATGCTCAATCCGCAGATCCGATCCATTCTGCGAGGATCGTCAGAGGGGGTGTCACCAAGTGTTACCGCACCGGGTGACACCAACCCTAGGGACACCTCTGTACTGCTCCATAGTGACAAGAAGCAAACTCTCCAAAAACAAGCAGGTCTTTCAGTCTGAAATATATTTTGAGCTTGTGTGGGAATACGTTTTTATACTGTGTGTATTTTGTGATGTCTTGTAAGATTTTTGTTTTATGAAAAGCTTTCACGGCATGCAGAACATGAGTATAGCATTTCTACTGTGTGAGTCAACTCATGTATGGCAAGCTCCCTCATAAGATTGGATATTTTACCACGCACAGATCATGGATAAGACTTCTCTCCTGTATGTATCCTCTTATGAATTTTCAACTCTGATTTGCTTCGAAAACATATATCACATACAGAGCACGGATATGGCTTCTCTCCTGTGTGAATCATCTGGTGTCGGATCAACTGCACCTTGTGTGGAAATTTTTTATAACATTCAGGACAAGAATATGGAACTTCTCCTGTGTGACTCCTCTGATGAATTTTCAACTCTGGTTTGCTTCTAAAACATTTATCACATTCAGAACATGGATATGGCTTTTCTCCTGTGTGAATCATCCGGTGTCGGCTCAACTGGTGTTTGCTTGCCATTCCTTTATAACATTCAGGACAGTGATATTTCCTCTCTCCCGTGTGGGTTTCCTGATGTTGGCTCAGATCTCTATTGTTTTTAAAACTTTTATCACATTGAGGGCAATCATACTGCTTCTTTTCTGTATGGATCCACTTGTGTTTTTTCAGTTCCACGTCGCTTCTAAAACATTTATCGCATTCAGAACACAAATATGGCTTCTCTCCTGTGTGAATCATTAGGTGTCGGGTTATAGTTGTCATGCTTGACAATAATTTATGACATTTAGGACAGGGATATGTCTTCTTTGCTTTGTGTCCCATTTTATGTGTTTCCAACTCTGCCTCACTTTCAAAGGATTTTCTACAAGTAAAACAAGGATAGGGTTTTTCTGCCAGGTGACTCCTGTAGTGCCGTATAAGTTGTGCCTTTACTGGGAAGCACTTGTCACATTCAGTACATGGTAAGGGCTTCTCTCCTATGTGAATTCTGCAATGCTGGTTAAGTAGTCTCTTTAATGAGAAGCTCTTGCAACATTCTGAACATGTGTATAATCTCAGTTTTCTCTCTCCTGTGTGAACCTTTTGATGTTCAGAGAGCTTATAATATGTTATAAAGGACTTGTTGCATTCTGAGCATGGATAGGGTCTCTCTCCAGTGTGACTCATTTCATGTCTTTGAAGGTGTTCTTTGCGTTTATAATCTTTGCCACATTCCAAGCAGGAAAAGGGTCTCTGCCCTGTGTGCTCCATCAAGTGCTTGTTTAGAGTTGTCCTAGCTGAAAAGCATTTGTCACATTCAGAACATGGGAATGGCTTTTCTTCAGTGTGCGTCCGTTGATGTTCACCAAGATGCTGCTTAGTTTTAAAAACATTTGCTACATTCAGAACACTGATATGGCCTTTCCCCAGTGTGAGACATCTTGTGAAAGTCGCACTGTAGTTTGGTATTAAAACATTTGCTACATTCAGAACATTGATATGGCTTTTCTCCCAGTGTGAATCCTCAAGTGGACATCAAGCTGTGCCTTGATCTTAAAATATCTGTCACATTCAGAACACTGGTATGGCTTCTCTCCAGTGTGAGTCCTCTCGTGAATAGTGCGCTGTGCTTTGATTGTAAAACACATGTCACATTTAGCACACTGATATGGCTTTTCTCCAGTATGAAGCCTACAGTGGACTTTCTGCTGTGCCTTGGTACTAAAACGTTTTCCACATTCAGAACATTGGTATAGCTTCACTCCAGTGTGAGTCTTCTGGTGGATGGCAAGATGTGACCTACTTGGAAAGCTTTTATCACATTCAGAACAAGACCATGATTTTTTTCCTGTGTGCCTCTTCTGGTGTTCAGTAAGTTGTGTCTTCAGAAGAACACTTTCACTACCTTCAGAACATGTCTTCTTTTCAATGTGACTCATCTTTAAGGTTTGATAAGAAACAGAAATCCTGTAAAAGATATAGCCCATTAAAAAAAACATATATATATATATTTATACAGTATATCTTAATATAGTAAAACAAATTACACAGAGTAAAATAAAAAAACAGTATGGGTAAATAATCAGCCTCATATATAACATTAGTAAAGACTATACAGTTGCAAGAAAACGTATGTGAACCCCTTGGATTACGTGAAGTTTTGCATGAATTGGGCATAAAATGTGCTCTGAACATCATCTAAGTCACAACTAGAGATGAGCGAAGTATTCAAAAATTCGATTCGGCTGATTCGGCGAATTCCAGGAAGAAATTCGATTCGATGCGAATTTATTCGCTACGAAGATAACTTATAAAAAGGTTTCTAGGCTTCAGAGAGCCTTTAAATTAGTGCAGAACACTGTACCTTTAATTTAAATGCCCTTGGAGATGAGGAAGGAGAAGGAGAAGGATGAGAAGAAGGAGAAGGATGAGAAGAAGGAGAAGGAGAAGGATGAGAAGAAGGAGAAGGATGAGAAGAAGGAGAAGGATGAGAAGAAGGAGAAGGAGAAGGATGAGAAGAAGGAGAAGGAGAAGGATGAGAAGAAGGAGAAGGAGAAGGATGAGAAGAAGGAGAAGGAGAAGGATGAGAAGAAGGAGAAGGATGAGAAGAAGGAGAAGGATGAGAAGAAGGAGAAGGAGAAGGATGAGAAGAAGGAGAAGGATGAGAAGAAGGAGAAGGAGAAGGATGAGAAGAAGGAGAAGGATGAGAAGAAGGATGAGAAGAGGAGAAGGATGAGAAGAAGGAGAAGGAGAAGGATGAGAAGAAGGAGAAGGATGAGAAGAAGGAGAAGGATGAGAAGAAGGAGAAGGAGAAGGATGAGAAGAAGGAGAAGGATGAGAAGAAGGAGAAGGATGAGAAGAAGGATGAGAAGAAGGAGAAGGATGAGAAGAAGGATGAGAAGAAGGAGAAGGATGAGAAGAAGGATGAGAAAGAAGGAGAAGGAGGAGAAGAAGGAGAAGGATGAGAAGAAGGATGAGAAGAAGGAGAAGGATGAGAAGAAGGATGAGAAGAAGGAGAAGGATGAGAAGAAGGAGAAGGATGAGAAGAAGGAGAAGGATGAGAAGAAGGATGAGAAGAAGGAGAAGGATGAGAAGAAGGATGAGAAGAAGGAGAAGGATGAGAAGAAGGAGAAGGATGAGAAGAAGGATGAGAAGAAGGAGAAGGATGAGAAGAAGGATGAGAAGAAGGAGAAGGATGAGAAGAAGGAGAAGGAGAAGGATGAGAAGAAGGAGAAGGATAGAAGAAGGAGAAGGATGAGAAGAAGGATGAGAAGAAGGATAAGGATGAGAAGAAGGACAGTTCTGTGACAGTTTCTGTCTATTTCTGATAGTTCTGTGACATTCACTCCATACAGCGGTTTCAACCGCTGTATGGAGTGAATGTCCCAGAACTGTCAGAAATAGCCTATTTCTGACAGTTCTGGGACATTCACTCCATACAGCGGTTGAAACATTGTATCTATTTGTTTCCATAAATGGATTCATTTATGGAAACAAATAGATACAATGTTTCAACCGCTGTATGGAGTGAATGTCACAGAACTGTCAGAAATAGTCTATTTCTGACAGTTCTGTGACATTCACTCCATACAGCGGTTTCAACCGCTGTATGGAGGGAATGTCCCAGAACTGTCAGAAATAGTCTATTTCTGACAGTTCTGGGACATTCACTCCATACAGCGGTTGAAACATTGTATCTATTTTTTTCCGCTCTGCAGATACACTTTTTGCCGGCTTGGAATTAATCTTATTTTCATCCTACTTCTTCTTTCTTCTTCTTCTTCTTCATCTTCATACTCATCCTCAGAAGAAGAAGGATGAGGATGAGGATGAGGAAGAAGAAGAAGAAGAAGAAGTAGGATGAAAAATAAGAATAATTCCAAGCCGGCAAAAAGTGTATCTGCAGAGCTCCTCTAAGTGTATCTGCAGAATGTCATTTATGGAAAAAAATAGATACAATGTTTCAACCGCTGTATGGAGTGAATGTCACAGAACTGTCAGAAATAGCCTATTTCTGACAGTTCTGTGAGATTCACTCCATACAGCGGTTGAAACATTGTATCTATTTGTTTCTATAAATGACATTCTGCAGATACACTTAGAGGAGCTCTGCAGATACACTTTTTGCCGGCTTGGAATTATTCTTATTTTCATCCTACTTCTTCTTCTTCTTTCTTCTTCTCTTCTTCTTCTGAGGATGAGGATGAAGAAGAAGAAGAAGTAGGATGAAAATAAGAATAATTCCAAGCCGGCAAAAAGTGTATCTGCAGAGCTCCTCTAAGTGTATCTGCAGAATAGAGGAGCTCTGCAGATACACTTTTTGCCGGCTTGGAATTATTCTTATTTTCATCCTACTTTCTTCTTCTTCTTCTTCATCCTCATCCTCTTAAGAAGAAGAAGAGGATGAGAATGAGGATGAAGAGGAAGAAGAAGAAGAAGAAGAAGTAGGATGAAAATAAGATTAATTCCAAACCGGCAAAAAGTGTATCTGCAGAGCTCCTCTATTCTGCAGATACACTTAGAGGAGCTCTGCAGATACCCTTTTTGCCGGCTTGGAATTATTCTTATTTTCATCCTACTTCTTCCAAACCGGCAAAAAGTGTATGTGCAGAGTTCCTCTATTTCTGACAGTTCTCTGACAGCTCCTTCACATGTACAGCGGTTGAAACATCTGTATCCTAAATGGAAACTAATAGATACAATGTTTCAACCGCTGTACATGTGAAGGAACTGTCAGAGAAATGTCAGAAATAGCGGAGCTCACTGCAGGGACACTTTTGCCGGCTGATCGGGAAATATTCGATTCGCGCACCCGAAGTAGGAAAAATTTCGGATTCGACGCGAATCGAATATTTCCTGAAATTCGTATCGAATTCCGGTTCGCCTGGTTCGATTCGCTCATCTCTAGTCACAACAATAGAAGAACACAGTCTGCTGAACATAATACTACACAAACATTAGATGTTGCCATGGTTTAATTGCACATAACATGTAAACATTCACAGTGCAGGGAGGAAAAAGTATGTGAACCTTTGGACTTAATAACTGGTTGACCCTCCTTTGGCAGCAATAACCTCAACCAAACGTTTCCTGTAGTTGCAAATCAGACCTGCACAACGATCTGGAGTAATTTTGGACCACTCCTCTTCACAAAACTGTTTCAGTGTAGCAATATTCTTGGGATGTCTGGTGTGAATCGCTCTCTTAAGGTCATGCCACAGCATTTCAATCGGGTTGAGGTCAGGACTCTGACTGGGCCACTCCAGAAGGTGTATTCTGTGCTGTTGCAGCCATTGTTTTGTTGAATTACTTGTATGCTTTGGGTCATTGTCCTGTTGCATCACCCATCCTCTGCGGAGCTTCAGTTGGCGGACAGATGGTCGTACGTTTTCCTGCAAAATGTCTTGATAAACTCTGGAATTCATTTTCCCATCAATGACAACAATCCGTCCAGGCCCTGAGGCAGCAAAGCAGCCCCAAACCATGATGCTCCCTCCGCCATGTTTTACAGTGGGGATGAGGGTTTGATGTTGGGGTGCTGTGCCTTTTTTTCTCCACACATAGTGTTGTGTGTTCTTCCCAAACAACTCAATCTTGGTTTCATCTGTCCACAGTATATTTTGCCAGTAGTGCTGTGGAACATCCAGGTGCTCTTTTGCAAACTTCAACGTGCTGCAATATTCTTTTTGGACAGCAATGGCTTCCTCCGTGGTGTCCTCCCATGTACTCCATTCTTGTTTAATGTTTTCCTTATTGTAGATGTGTCAACAAAAATGTTAGCATGTGCCAGAGATTTCTGTAGGTCTTTAGCTGACACTCTGGGATTCTTCTTTACCTCATGCAGCATTCTGCGCTGTGCTCTTGCAGTCATTTTTACAGGACGACCGCGCCTAGGGAGAGTAGCAACAGTGCTAAACTTTCTCCATTTGTAGACAGTCTTTCTTACCGTGGACACATGAACATCAAGGCTTTTGGAGATACTTTTGTAACCCTTTCCAGCTTCATGCAAGTCAACAATTCTTGATCGTAGGTCTTCTGAGAGCTCTTTTCTGCGAGGCATGGTTCACATCAGACAGTGCTTCTTGAAACCAGTAAACCCAAAACAGGTGTGTGTTTTTTAAGGGCAGGACAGCTGTCAGCAACACATCCAATATCATCACACTGATTGGAGTCAAGGTTGGCTCACTCCTGGCTCCAATTAGCTCTGGGAGAAGTCATTAAGCTAGGGCCTCACATACTTTTTCCTCCCTGCACTGTGAATGTTTACATGTTATGTGCAATTAAACCATGGCAACATCTAATGTTTGTGTAGTATTATGTTCAGCAGACTGTGTTCTTCTATTGTTGTGACTTAGATGACGTTCAGAGCACATTTTATGCCCAATTCATGCAAAACTCCACATAATCCCAAGGGGTTCACATATTTTTTCTTGCAACTGTAGTAGGGCTTTCACACTGCTGAAAACTCTATACCTAATAAAATAGCAAGCAATTTAAATATACGTAAAATATAAAACTTGAACATGTACGAGTCTATTAACTAGTTGCCGACTGCAGATAGCCGAATGACAGCTGCACTGCGGCCGGCCAGTTCTGGGAGGGCGTCATATGACATCCTCCCAGAACGCAATCTTCTGAGCGCCCCCCGGGTGCACGCGCCCGGCGATCTGCTCGTAAGGAGGGGCCAATATGCCATGACATCACACCGCTGAAGCCACGTGAAGCCTCGGCGGCCATCTTACTTATGGAAGGTTAGTCCATTTTTCCTGCATTTATTTCCTGATTGTCATTTTTATGAATTTGCAAATTCAGCATTTAATAAAATTTGGTTTTATCATCTACTACACTATGGGCACTTCTTATATCTCCCCATGCGGAGCAATTCATTTTTAGAGCCCACCTGATCCACCACAGTATCCAGAGGAGGGAGTCCCTGTTCTACAGGCATCTACACCCACCCATCCTTAAAGGGGGCCTCTGGCTGCCTGGATCCTTTACCACCCAAGAGCTCCAGAGACACCACCAGTATCCAGAAGGAGTATTATCCTTGGCTTGGCTACATCCAATTCATAAAGGGGACCTCGGCTGTTTGATTTAATGTGTATATACATTACGCATCTGGTGAGTGCGTATTCTTACCCCACTGATTTGGAGCACCATCACTGAAGTATTATTGCTGCTACTGCATTGAAACCTGCACAAATTGTCACTTGTGGATTGTTACAACCTCCAGTTGGAGTTCTACATATGTTTATTTATCTGAACTTTTTAAATTTTTATCATATATATTCTTAGCACTGCACTTATTTATTTATTGTTATTTGAGGTTTTTATATTGGTTACCTTTTTAGTGCTACAGCTGCTACTTATAGAGCGCTCACTTTTCTTTTATTTGATGAACTTAAGTCTCTTCAACTGGACTATCACATTGAAGATTATTTGAAGGGACTTACTGACACTAAAGAGGATTTATGATTAATAATTCCATTTTATTAAACTTAAAGCAGCACCCACCCAGCAAAGAATAAAATCCAGCCTGGTCATGAAGTAGCATCAGCTCGTGGGAACTTTGTGTAAAGGGTCCAGGATCCACACCCACTGCTTGTGCTGTATAGCTCAGCATGGACTGGAGAATGACAACCAGCTGGTGGAAGGGAACAGCAGGGATCGGAGCAACTGCAGCCTTTGGTCATTGAACTTCCCTCTTAAATAGGAGATTTCTTAAATCTTCTTAACCTCCTTGGCGGTCTGATTATTTCAGATTTTTGGTGCTGAAAGCGGTACCATTATTTTGCATGGAAATATGTAGTTTTTTTATTGTAGGCTGTAATTTTTAGGAATAACTCACTGAAATCTGTCCGAACAAGAGTCTAGTAAACATCCCGGGTATGATAAAATTTGAAACACGAAATCATAAATTATAATTTAATAAATAATCATAAAAAATAATAATAATACATTTAATTCAATAATATAATCAAACCAAAAACACTGAAATTTGAAATATAGCGCCAAGTTCGCACATCACTGAGCAAAGTCGCAGAATCGTTTTCAGTGTCTGATGACGAATTTCCCCCACGAATCATTATCAATCAATTCTGCAAGTGGTTCTGATTTACTATCGCTGTTCTCTAGCTGATCTAAAACCGCTTTTGACCTAAGGGGACGCTTTTTGGACGCCATGGATTTTTCTACGTTTCCAGGCAGAAAGAACAGTAAAAATGCCGGCAGGGCGCAGGACAAAGCACTCGGGACAAAATGTATGTGAAATGGTTTGATACAGCAATGTTTTACTATGTAAAATTCGTTTTGAAAAAAATGACTTTTTTTAAAATTTTCAAATTTCCTGCCGCCGGCGGTGCCCGTGCGTCCCGACGTCACAGGGACCGGAACACAGAAGCCGGATGCCGGCATCAGCCGGAGGAGATGGCTGGGGACGCTGCAGGGGACACATCGCGGGAGCGAAGGACAAGGTAAGTGCTGAAGGGACTCCCTATGCAACGCCGCATGGTAAGCCCGAGTGTAGCTCGGGGTTACCGCTTTTGGTACAGAAACTTTACCCCGAGCTACACTCGGGAATACCGCCAGGGGGGTTAATAAGCTTCAACATTACAGATGGGCATCATCCTACAGCTGGTTGTCCCTAGATGTGGCCTCACATATACCTCTATTCCTCATGACTTGGGTCTCAGTGTGGTACATCATCAAAGCAGCATCTCAGTTATACCAATCTTGCCATGGGTCTGTGGAAAAACCACTACTGGAAAAATTACCCTTTTTTGTTCCAGATTATGTTTTACAGTCATTACATTGTGATCTTATGGGACAGCAAACCCTCTTCCGTCATACCCTTTGTCACCCACTGCAATAGCAACCCTATGGGCCTCAGATTTACACATGTGGGGGGTCACATTTCATAAATGTTTTTTGACCTCTCATGATGAGCACATGATAATCTCAACAAATTATTTGAAGGAAGTAGCTGGCAACTCTTATCTCCATGAGAATTGTTGTCACCATCATAAAGCGGAGTTCCACTCACGCTGTCAAAAAATAAAAGTCAGCAGCTACAAAAACTGTAGCTGCTGACTTTTAAAAAACAGCCACTTACCTGTCCCGTGGTGTGTCCCCCGCAGCCCGTTTCACCGGCCATCCTGTATTCCAGGAGGCCGGCATCTTCAGCGTGGGCACCCGGCTGTGATAGCTTGCGGCTTCACAGCCAGGTGCCCACTGCTCATGTACAAGAAGCGCTGCACTTCATGAATGGTCCTGTAGTCTTCTGGGACCCGTCACGTGTCCCAAAAGACTACAGGGAGGGAGGAAACCTTCCGTTTCCGATCACCTATGCCATCGAAAAGGAAGTGGGAGAGGGTACCTGTCAAATTTGGGTACCTGCTCCCCCCCCCGCCCCCCAAAGGTGCCAATGCTTAATGGGGAGCGGGGAAGCAGTCCTTAAAGCGGAACTTTCCCTTTTGGGTGGAGCTCCACTTTAAGTGGAAAGCTAATAGTCCCAAAAGCCAGTATTGCTGACTGAGGAACAACTGTACTGGAACTGTTCTACTGACATCGCCCTGCGCTCTACTGTTTGTTCTCTCTTGTTCTGAGGCTGGTCTCCCATCACAGCTGTGCAAATGCTGTTTCTGGTGCACAGTTGATCCCAGACTCTCAGCACCACCATCTTTCCTCTACATCCCTGGATCAAGATCTCCATCACCTTCAACTATTTTGACACCCCCCCCCCCCCCTCCCTGGAGCCCATAGGTTTTTTGGACTCTCATCCATATTCCTTCAGTACAAAGGTTAGCGCCATGACTTATCATAATCTTTATTTTAGAAAAATGGGCTATGTGGACTGTGGTCCCTGCAGGTTTGAACACATTGTGCAGTTAGGATAAAATACTATTTAACCACCTCCCATCCAGCCCATGTATATAAACGGCCGGACAGGAGCAGTGCAGGGTCGGGTGGCCATTTATAAACGTCCTCCCCGCCCCCTGCTTGTGTGCGCTCCCTGGAAGCGTAAAGCACTGCGATCCGGTGCCTGCTGTGTCCTCTGGATACAGTGGAACACTGATCATTGTGCGGGACCTCTGTGTGAGGTCCCAATCATGTGATCACTGATTGGCCAATCAGTGACCACATGCAGAGTAGTAAGCAAGATGTCACTTCTGACATCATTGCTTACTATGTGTAAAATCTGTGAATGATCACAGAGATCACATGGTACAGGGCTATTCACAACAGCCTTATACCATGTGACAAGCTGTGACCAATCACAGCTCACACTGTAGTACTCAATGGCTGCAGGAATGCAGCCAGAGAGAAGGAGAAATTATTGATTTTACTGCCTTTATGGGTGTAAAAGCAATCAGTGTACAAAAAAAAAAAAAAAATCTTCATTACCCCCCCCCCCCCACAAGTAGTACAGTGTCACTATGGTGACACTGTACTGCTAGGGTGACAGTATGATTAAAAAAAAAACCATAAACAATAATATAAAAAAAATAAAAATGTAAAAAAATAAATTAAAAAATTATATTTTTGGTTATATTCTAATTTGGGTTATTTTTTTTTACTAAAAAGATAACTGAATAAATTTTGGCCAAGATTTACAAAGAAAGATTATTTATTTGCAAAATTTTATAAGAAAAACACTTTCTGTTCAAAATTTTTGGACTTTTTCATTTATATAGCATTCATTGCTTACTACGTGTGAAATCTGTGAATAATCACAGAGGTCACATGGTACAAGGCTATTCACAACAGCCTTGTACCATGTGACAAGCTGTGACCAATCACAGCTCACACAGCATTTTTCAATGTCTGCAAGAATGCAGCCAGAGAGAAGTAGAAATTATTGCTTTTACAGCCTTTATGTGTGTACAAGCAATCAGTGTAAAAAAACAAAAAAACAAATCATCATCATCACCCCCCACAAGTAGTACAGTGTCACTATGGTGACACTATACTGCTAGGGTGATAGTATGTAAAAAAAACCATAAATAATAATATAAAAAAATAAAATAAAAATGTAAGAAAAAATTTAGAAAAATTATAATTTTTGGTTATAAACTAATTGGGGTTATTTTTTTTTTTTTTTTGCTAAAAAGATAACTGAATACATTTTGGCCAAGATTTATGAAGAAAGATTATTTATTTGCAAAATTTTATAAGAAAAAACACTTTTTTTTCAAAATGTTTGAACATTTTCATTTATATAGCAAAAAAAGATAAAAATCCCAGTGGTGAATAAACACCATCAAAATAATGTTTTATCTGTCTCAAAAAATGCTAAAAAAATTCATATGGGTACAGTGTTGCATGACCGCGCAATTGTCATTCAAAGTGTGGTAGCGCTGAAAGTTGAAAATTGGCCTGGACAGGAAGGGGGTGAAAGTGTCCGGACATGAAGTGGTTAAAAGCCAAGTTTACTTAAAAAAATAAATGCACATTTTCTGCAGGTAAAAAAATGTGCATTTATTATTTTTTTCTTCAAAGCCTGCAGAGCATTGCACCTGTAAACAGCAGGTCACAGATGCAATGCCAGGCTCCCACAGACTCTCAGTACACCTGTCTGCCCATACCTTTCATCACAATAGTTTAATGGCAGATATTTTTTTTGCAGCCCTCAGCTTTTTCTTAACCCTCTACGCTGTGTAAGCCTCTACTCATTGGATGTACTACATATGTCCAAGTGGGGATTACTGAGTCGATGATGTCACAAGAAGGGTCATCCAGTGATGTTGCTGGGTGACCCTGCCCCTTAGTTTACTTAGCAGAGGGTGGGCAGAGGAGCTGTCAGTCTGCTGGAGCCCAGCGTCGGGTGCAGGCGGGATGTTTTTTCACGTGTCGGCGGCCAGCATTTATCGTGACTGACACTGGATTTACTTTGGGGGACATTTATTTTGTTTTTTTGGAGTTTTTTTTATTAAAGGACTTGTCATAAACTCTCTCTGTGTTTTTATTTACTTTGCTCATTTTTTTGGGTGAATTAGTGGGAATACTATGTATCCCACACTCATTCACAGAGGGAAGCAGTATCTGGGGAGCTTCCAGATTCCGATAAGTCACCTCCTTCCCCCGCATCTCCACAACCACCAGGCCAGGGTTGTGTGGAAAAGGCCCTTGTCCTCAGCAACATGGGGACAAGGTGCTTTTCAGGAAGGGGGGGAGAGTCTCCCCAAAGCACCCCCCATGTTGAAGGTATGTGGCCTGTTATAGTTAAGGAGGGGAGAGCTTGCTCACCCCCCCCCCCCCCTCCACTTTCTTGGCCTGTCTGGCTGCATGCTCAGAAAAGAGTCTGTAAAGGATTGGGGGGGGGGGGGGGGGGGGGGCCCATGCTGTTTTTTTTTTTTTTTTAACCACTCACCTGCCGGGCACTTATACCCCCTTCCTGCCCAGTCCAATTTTCAGCTTTCAGCGCTGTCACACTTTGAATGACAATTGCACGGTCATGCAACACTGTACCCATATGAAATTTTTATCATTTTTTGAGACAGATAGAGTTTTATTTTGGTGGTTTTTAATCACCTCTGGTTTTTTATTTGTTGCTAAACAAACCAAAAACAACTGAAAATTTTGAAAAAAAAAATTTTTTCTTAGTTTTTTTGTTATAAAATTTTGTAAATAAGTGATTTTTCTCCTTTACTGATGTGCGCTAATGAGGCTGCAGCAAGGGGCACTGATAGGCTGTACTGATGGACACTGATAGGTGGCACTGATGAGGAGGCACTGGAAGGTGGCACTGATGAGGAGGCACTGGTAGGTGGCACTGATGGGCATTGACAGGCATCACTGATGGGCACTGAAAGGCAGCACTGATATATGGCACTGATAGGCAGCACTGATAGGCGGCACTGACTGGCACTTTTAGGTGGCACCAACTGGCACTGTTAGGCGGCACTAATAGGCAGCACTGATAGGTGGCACTGATGCACACTGATAGGCGGCACTGACTGGCACTGATAGGCGGCACTGACTGGCACTGATTGGCAGCACTGATAGGCGGCACTGACTGGCATTGACAGGTAACACTGAAAGGCAGCTCAGATGGGCACTGATATGTGGCATTGATGTGCACTGGTAGGCACTGATATGTGACATTGATGTGGCACTGATGGGCACTGGCAGGTGGCATTGATGAGCACTGCCAGCTGGCACTGATGGACACTGACAGGTGGCACTGCTGGGGCTACACTGATCATCAGGGCACACTGATCATCAGTGCCCTGATGATCAGTGTACATGTCCCATCTGAGTAAAGTCAATTACCGGCTCTCCTCCCCTCTCCTTTGTCAGTGTGACAGCTTGTGAGGAGAGAAATGCAGATAACCGGCATTTCCCTATTTACATGTGATCAGCTGTGATTGGAAACAGCTGATCACATGACCGAGCCGTTGATTTGTGATTGCCGCGTGCTCATGGAGCCGCACATGCCCGGTGAGAATGGGAGGACGTCATATGACGTCCTTCCAGAACGAGAGAACTGCCTTGCGCCCGTCATTACCTTATATAGCGAGCGGGAGGCGGTTAAAGTTCTAAGATTGTTCTTCTTTTGTTTACATTTTGCTGTTTTGCGTTACATTAACTGACAATTGCAACAACACTGCACCCAAACTAAATTTATGTCCTTTTTTGCCACAAATGGAGCTTTCTTTTGGTGGTATTTGATCGCCTGTGCCTGCGATATAAACAAAAAAAGACCGCCAACTTTCAGAAAAAAAAAACAATATTTTTGACTTTTTGCTATTAAACATGTCGAGTAAAAAAATTTTAAAAATCAGATTTCGTCATAAATTTAAGCCAAATTATATTCTGCTCCATGTCTTTGCTATTAAAAAAATCCCAATACGTGTAAATTAAATGAAATAGAAAATAAAACCCGAAATCTGTGCTAAGGAAATGGAGTGCTAATAAAAAGCAGCTGAACACTGTACCTTGATACCAGGCACTTCAAAAATCGTGTACAAATAAAGTGCATCGCTGAAATAAAAATATATAATACATGAAAAGAATACTAATACAAAATGTTCATAGTGAGATAACAAATGATGAAATAAAAAAAGGACAGACCACAAATGCCGTGATGAGACAGGAAAAAGCTTCCGAGGATCCGAGCTAGCTGATGTGACACCAACCACTTGCATACAAGGCTATGGAATGCTCTGGCTATGGAATGTTGGTAAATTTCCCTGAGTATCTCATGTCTTTTTGTATGGGAGTTTAACCCTTTCACATCATAAGTCATAAACTTAACCTCTTGCCGTCCACCTGCTGTTTATAAACGGCAGGGCAGTGGCACTCCAGGGGCGGGTTGCCATTCATAAACGGCACCCGCCTTTTCTAGCTGTGCGCGCTCCTTGGGAGTGCGCAGCACCGCGATCCAGTGCCCGCTGTGTCCTCCGGACACAGTGAAACACAGATCGTCGTACGAGGTCCCGATCATGTGATAACATGTGATAACATGCAAAGTAGTAAGCAAGATGTCACTTGTGACATCATTGCTTACTACGTGTGAAATCTGTGAATGATCACAGAGGTCACATGGTACAAGGCTATTCACAACAGCCTTGTACCATGTGACAAACTGTGACCAATCACAGCTCGCACAGTATTTCTCAATGGCTGCAAGAATGCAGACAGAGAGAAAGAGAAATGATTGCTTTTACATCCTATATGGGTGTAAAAGCAATCACTGTAAACAAAAAAAAAAAAATCTTCATCAACCCCACAAGTAGTACACCATGGTGACACTGTACTGCTAGGGTGACAGTATGTAAAAAAATAAAATTTAAAAAAACATAAATAATAATATAAAAAAATAAAATAAAAATGTAAAAAAAATGTTTAAAAATTATAATTTTTGGTTATAAACTAATTTGGCTTATTTTTTTTTTTACTAAAAATATAACTGAATAAATTTTGGTCAAGATTTATGATGAAAGATTATTTATTTGCAAACTTTTATAAGAAAAACACTTTTTTAAAAAATTTTTGGACATTTTCATTTACATAGCAAAAAAAATAAAAATCCCAGCGGTGAAAAAATACCATCAAAATAAAGCTTTATCTGTCTCAAAAAAATGGTAAAAAATTCATATGGGTACAGTGTTGCATGACCGCGCGATTGTCATTCAAAATGTGATAGCGCTGAAAGCTGAAAATTGCCCTGGACCGGAAGGGGGTGAAAGTGTCCGGACAGGAAGTGGTTAATGACACTCATTTCAACTATTGTTTCCCTATCCTACCAGAGTTCCCATCACAAGAAAGCAGATATAGACATTTTAAGATATGGACTTTCTCCCCCTCCAACAATTCTCCATTTTCTTCCCACCTCCCTTCCGTTTACCCTCCCACACTTCCCCCCCTCCCATCCCCCCTCTTCTCCAATCCCTAAACCCCACTCGGTCTACATATTGCCCTGGAATCTGGCGTGGCAAATTCCCACTAGCGATTCCTAGTTTGGGACGAAACTCAAAACACGCACGTCGACCCCAATCCTTGACTCGTGCCATCACTCAGGTTGGAGTGGACAGCATGTTTGGCCTCCAGCCCACCCATCAGATCCACATTCTCACTGCCCCTCCCATCTCTCCCACCCATTTACTCAACTGGGAAAAAAGAACCTGGAGGCAAGAGAGCCCTTCCAGGGAGAGGTGGGGGAGAGAGGAGAGAAAGAGATAGCAAGAAAAAAAACCTCTCCCTTCAGACCCCCCCCCCCCCCCCCGTCTTTCCCCCCACACCCCCCTACCTCTTCTTCCTAGACAGCCGCTGCCACATTCCTACATTCCTGCCTCCTGCCCTCCGCTCTCTCTAAGCCCCTCTGACCATCCTTCAAGATCCATTTTCTGTAAGTCTAATTTCTCGCAAAAGTCATTAAAATCTTCTGGGAACCTTAGCCTTGCCACTTTTCCATCTTTGCATCCAATTAAACATGCTGGAAAGCCCCAATTGTATCAAACTTTTTTCTCTCTCATATGGTCCAGCAATGGTTTTAAAGATCTTCTAGCCAGTGTTTCTGGGGCAATGTCTGGAAAGAAATGCAAGGTTGTTTCCTCATATTTTATTTCAGTAGAGTCACGCCACCCTGTCTATATTCTCTCTCTATCTCCGAAGTGATGGAATCAAACTATCACATCTCTGGGGCTTTCCACCAGTACTCCTTTTGGCCTTTTAATGCTGTGTACTCTCTCAATTTTCAATTTTTCTGTCACTGATCCACCCATGATAGGATTACACACTCTCTTTATTTTCTCATGTAGGTCCTCTTCCTGTCCCGCTTGTTATGGTAAACCCCTAATCCTTAAATTGATTCTCCTTTTTCTATTGCGCTTTCTCCTGGTTCTCTACACATCACCTCCACTGCATTTCTAATTTGTTAATTAAGTATCCCTCCTTTCTTCTTTACTTCTTCAATTTGGGTTATCTGACCCAGGTCATTGCATAATGTCCTATACTCCTTTTTCATGGACATCTATACTTTCACAAAATTACATAAATAGTGCAGCGCTCAAAACTAACTTATATACACAAATAACTGTGCTCACATACAATGGTGACACACATATAGTGAAATGACCTCAATTATAAGTGCCACTTAATGATGATCTAAGGTGCCCACATAATCACACAAATATATGTAAAACGCATATAAACAACGTATGAAAACGCATATAAAAAGTCCTCACTGGAAAATAATTTTAAATAATTTAAAAAGTGCTCCAAGTGTGGTGATGTAACCACACTTAATTAGATTTATCCTCAAAAAATCAAACACAAACAAAATTGTCCATAAATACTAGTGCAAAACATGCCATAAAGGTGCATTGCATAATGTCCTTATCCACAGCAGTCCTTTCCTATGGCTGCCTCCTCACCTCCTTACATCGACCCCTAAGGCCACACAGCATCAGGACTTTGGATCCAAACATTTCCGCCATTTTGATTTTTTGTAAGTGGTTGTGACATGGGTCCTTGCAGTTCCATGATTGGCAAACACATGCAAAGTGCATAAAAGTGCAAAAATGCAAAAAAACAAAAACAAATGTGTCCTTATTCCACAGCAGTGCAACTCTTCCCCTCCTATGGCCCTGCCGTCCTGGATCACTTTGAGGGTATTTCGATTACCCCCACTCAGAAGCTTCTATAGGATGATTACTCACCATCCAGTGAGCAAGAAAGAAAGAGATCCTCTAAGTGCAGTATTTTAGAGCCAAAAAACACTTTAATGACAGTGTTTTAAAAGACATATAGTGTCTCCTTAGTGTGCAATCATCATTTTGATGTCTATTCACAGGGTGGGAGTGGGGTCGGGACCTGTAAGTGAAACTCCAACAGAGAAAGATCAAGTCTCTCTCCCCTGCTATAAAGGGCTGAGCTGCATAGTAGAGCAGTGCAAATCTAAGGATATACTTTCACAAACATTTCCGCCATTTTGATTTTGTAAGTGGTTGTGACATGGGTCCTTGCAGTTCCATATTCCCTTGTTCTATTACACTTTCCGAGTTTGCATATTCTTTAATCTGGTTCTCTTCCAGTGTCCCGAGTTAAAGTCTGGATTGGTCTCCCTCAAATTTCTTAAGTCCTTCATGCTGATTCTGCCAGGCTTGGGTCTCTGGTCTTTTCTCTTGTGGGGGCATGTATTTTTCTTATTGTGCTTATGTTTGCGTTTGATTGGGGGGTTTTTGAGCCCTCCCTTTAATCAATCTATTCTTAATTTCAAAAAGGATTTACAATTAGATTTCCTCTGTTCCAAAGAATACTGACCCCAAGATAGCCCTCTTTTTTCATCTGCTGGAGAGACCCAAACACTTCTTCTTATCTTGTTTATATATAGAAGTAGACCCACCGACCCCCAATACCCCCTAAGACCCTCCAATACCGTTCCTCTCTTTCAACACAATAGTTCCAGCAGACAGTTTTTTACTGCAAATGGAAAAGTTCTTTTAAATATTTTTACCGCTGCCTGCAGCAAATCACCATCACCTTTCGTGCCGCAGATACGTTACTACTCTGACCCTTATCGCTCCTTTCTTTTGGTCTGACTTTCCAGCCTGGGTTCCTGGAGTAGAGTGTATGCTATGGAGGGTCCCCACCGATCAGGGGTCCTGGGGTATCTCCGAATGCCAGAAGTGAGCTAGGGGTCTCCTTTTATGTACCGCCACCTCCTTCTCCTTGGTCTCCTTCAGCTCCTGCGCAGCATCTGGAGCTTCAGCCACTGCCACACAGGCAGTCTCACGGACACTCCCGGCGTCCTTCCATTGCTCAGAGGTTGACGCCTCCAAGTTCCGCTCCACACCGCTTCCAGCTCCCCGCCGGACACCCGCCAGCTCGACAGCTTATGTAGCGGACAATCGGAACGCACCGCCCAGGATCCCCCCGCTGTTACCAGCCGCCAAGGGGCAACGGAGTCACCAAACAAATCAGCACAGAGATCTCAACACAGGTGGCACAGGTAGGCTCTAAGGCTTATCCCTCATGGAGCTCCTGCACTATGCTGCCATACAGCGCCATGCTCAGGCTCCTCCTCCATGTTGGTACCACTCTTTATGCTGGTCATTTGACTCTCCCCATTCTATATTCTGTAAGCTTCTTCCAAAAGCGGGGGGGGGGGGATTAATTAGGGTGCTTTGGCAGCCTATTCAATTTCAGTGAGCATTAATGCACTGTAAATGGGCCCTTAAAGATCCTAAATGATAACCCTACAACACTCCAATTACTCCCTGTATGTTAAAAATCTCATACCACTAAAATGTATAAACAACCAAACACCCACATCAAAAAGAAGTTGTCAATTTGTCCATTAATGCTTGTTCTAAAGGTGTGGAGTGTAATAAACAGTTAGTCAAATCAGAGCACCCTTATACTATGACATAAGTCATTGAAGGCTCCGTTGCAGTCTTTCTTAAGTCAAATGCAGTTCTAGTGATATACCACAGGCTCAGTCCTAGTCCTATGCTGTATAAATTGTGTTTAAAGTTTGTTTTTTGTGGTGTCCCACAGGACTCATTCACAGCCCTTTATATGCAAGGGCCTACCTACAGTACATTAACCACCAATGCAAAGGGAGTTTCTACACTAACCACCTAACTTGGCTGGTGTGCAGCCTCTGAGGACCTGGGGCCCATTACAAGCAGGAGTAGTTGGGTGATATAGATGATCCCTTGCAAAAATCTTTATTGTAGATTCCTGCATAGTTTACTCTGGCTGACAATGTACAGGGTGCTTCTACATTGACCACCTATGTAATAAATGTATTTATTTTGTTCAGCATTAGATCAGTTGCATAAGTGGTTCCTGTTTTACTAAATTCTCTCCTATGTTTGTGATCAGTGTATATGCCTCCCATTGTGAGAGATCCTATACAGGCTATTAGATGGTCTTTTCTGTTTTCTTGTGATCAAATATTAATATTAAATGCACTTGGACACCAAGATCATTTGTTTGGCACTCTAATTGGACTTTGGACATGTGAACCTTCAAATCTGGGCCCCCTGCTTTTAGCAAAAAGGATCCACTTTGTCCAGTTGCTTTGTAAATTACAAAAGCGCTATATATAGCTATTGAAATAAATAGACACCTTTTTGTACCAGTGTCAAAACTAGACAG